GGACATCAGCGTGAATGCGCCCCACCTCGGCAATCATGTCTTCGGCCCGCTTATCCTCGAGCCCGGAGGATGGTAATGCTATTAAATCTGCCGGACCATGAGGCACCATGCCGTATACAACCTGGAAAGGACTGAGTCGAGTGGCTCAGTTGACCGCCGAATTGTGTGCGAATTCGGCCTGGCTAAGCCGAAGATCCCACGAACGCAAGTTATCCCCAACGAGGCAACGAAGCAAGTTTCCTAAAGAGCGATTGACGACCTCAGTCTGGTCGTCCGTCTGTGGGTGATAAGCACTGCTAAAGTCGAGCTTGGTGTTCGCTTGGCACCACAAACTACGCCAAAAGAAACTGAGAAAGCGTGTATCGCGGTCGGAGACAATGGATGTGGGTAGACCATGCAGGTGATAGATCTCACGAAAGAAAAGCTGAGCCACATGCACGGCATCAGTTGAGCGTTTGCAGGGAATAAAATGGGCATTCTTGGAGAAGCGATCAACAACCACGAAAATGGAATCATTACCTCGTTGTGTACGTGGAAGTCCAAGGACAAAGTCCATGCTAATGGCACACCAAGGCTGCGAAGGTATTAGAAGTGGGCGATACAACCCAGCGTTCGAAGCAACCCCTTTCGAAACCTGACAGACCCTGCATCGCTCCACAAAACGCGAGACATCTCGCCGTAAAGTAGGCCAAAAGAAGGTGCGCTGCACGAGCTCCACTAAACGATCACGACCGACATGTCCCGTTCCATGCAAATCCCCGATAAGTTTCAGCCGAAGGCTGCCATCCGATACACACAAACGGACCCCTTTAAAAAGGAATCCCTCACGCACTATAAAATCATCAACCGGGCCCGCAGCTAAACGCGCAAGAATGAGGCCAAAGAAAGCATCAGAAGCATACTGATCACGTAATGAATCAAACCCAGTGACAACAACTCGCATATCAGTCAAGATAAGAGAACGTCTACTCAAAGCATCAGCCACGCGATTCGACGTACCTGACCCATGCTTGAGGACGAAAGTGAACTGCTGCAAGAACGACGTCCAGATGGCATGGCGGGCAGAAATGTTGTGCTGAGACGAGATGAACCGTAACGCCTCATGATCAGAGAACAATACAAACTCACGATGAAACAAATAGTGCCGCCAATGTCGTACAGCACGCACGACTGCATAAAGCTCCACATCGTAAGTACTATAGCGCGTCCTCGAGCCTGACAACTTTTCGCTAAAGAAGGCCACTGGCCGCCCCTCCTGGCTAAGAACGGCCCCAATACCCACCTTCGATGCATCACAAGAAAGCTCGAAAGGTCGAGAGAAATCCGGGAGAACCAAGACCGGTGCAGAGGTCAGTTTCTGCTTAATGAGATTAAAAGCGGTAGCGGCCTGAGGTGTCCAGACAAACAACTTGCCCGTAAGGCAATCAGTAATCGGGGTTGTGATCGAGTTGAAGTGGGCAATGAATCGTCGGTAAAAAGAAGCCAAGCCGTAGAAGCTACGAGCCTCCGTGAATGACTTCGGGGTCGACCATTCACGAATAGCGGTCACTTTACTCTCATCCACACGAACACCATCGGCCGAAATAACGAAGCCCAGAAACAAAACCGAATCTACAAGAAAAGAACACTTGCCTGGAGATGCAAAAAAGGACTCAACACGTAAAATGAGAAGTACCTCGCGACCGTGGCACAAATGCTCCGCGACAGAATGACTGTAGATGAGTATGTCATCGAAACAAATGACGACACACTTCCCGATGAGGTCACATAGAGTCTGGTTCATCACTCGCATAAAATTGCTAGGCGCGTTCGATAAGCCGAAGGGCATAACCATCCACTCAAATAGACCCTCACGGATCTTAAATGCAGTCTTCCATTCGTCTCCCGGTCGTATCTGAATCTAATGATATCCACTCCGGAGATCCAGCTTCGAGAACACAGTCGCGCCGTGTAATTGGTCCAGAAAGTCATCCAACCGAGGAATAGAAAAACGGTACCGGACTGTTATCTTGTTGATCGCACGACTGTCCACACATATCCTCCAAGACTGATCCTTCTTCGGTATGAGAAGTGCCGAGACGGCACATGGACTGAGACTCCGGCGGATGGATCCCCGCTGAAGCAACTCCTCAACTTGACGACGAAGCTCCTCGTGCTCCGCCGGGCTCATGCGATAGTGAGGACGGTTGGGCAAAGAAGCGCCCGGTACCAAATTAATGTGGTGTTGAATATCACGTAAAGGAGGTAAGCCGCTCGGAAGCTCATCTAGGAAGACATCTGCAAACTCCTGAAGTAACGGCTGAATCTCATGTGGCGGTGAACCACTAGTAGTAGAGTCTGTACCGCAAACGAGAAGGACCATCGGTGCCTCGGGCAACTCACGGAGAAAAGCAGACTGTGAAAGAAGCAGCGCAGAAGACGATGAAGGAGGCCGAACCGAGTCTGGAGGTGCGGAGACAGGCTGTGGGGGGAGGAGTGCAAGATTATACGAACAACCTGAAAGAGAAAGCCATAAGTGTTCAGTCGGCCGTCGTGAACCACCTCCCGATCGAATTGCCACGGCCTACCTAATAGTAGGTGACAGGCGTCCATTGGAACAATATCACACCAAATCTCGTCTCAGTACGTCTGACCAACAGAAAAAGCTACCAACACTCGCTGATCCACTGTGACCGAGCTTCCTTTTTTAATCCAGGCTAATGTGTATGGCTGAGGATGGGGTTCGCTCGTCAAACGTAACCTCTCGACTGCTTCTGAGGCCACCACATTCTCACACGCACCAGAGTCAATCATAAAGCGACAAACTCGACCCATTGTGCAAGTGGACTCAAATAAGTGGTGTCGTTGACCCCCACTTGCATTGGTAACGTGTGGAGATAAAAGAGACCTGCGAAGGATCAATGCGTGACCAGCATCCCCCATGACATGCTCCTCCGTAATCTCTGGGTCCTCATCAAAGATAGGTGGGCCGGCGTAGTCCTCCTGTTCATCTACAAAAAGAGCCCGCGAATTACTTGCCTTCGGACATTGGACCTGCCTATGTCCTGGTTCGCCACAACCAAAGCATCTCGGAGTGCCCTATGAACGAGTGTCGCCACCTTGCGTGTGTCCAGCACCACGACCGCCGAATGATGAACCGGTATGTGGTGGACCGATAGTGGGACGTGAAGAAGCTGTCGGTGCTGATGTTCCCGAGCCAATTGGTGGAGGCCGTGAAGGTTGGAAAGTGGAAGTCGGTCGGCGAGCTTGTTGTTGTTCAATAAGTAGGGCGCGCTGGTGTGCCTCTGCAACGGTATGAGTCGTAAAAAGATTGACCATGTCCTGGATAGAAACACGAAGGCCACCAACATAACGCGAAACCTTTTGTTTAGGTGTTTCACGAATATCCAACCTCGCAAGAAGTTGATAAAACTCTTCAGTATATTCATTGACAGTGCGTTGTCCCTGCCGAAGGTGCTGCAATTTCTGATACAGTGTTTGGACAAAATTGAATGGCAAAAACTCCTTTTCAAGACACTTACGGAATTTGCTCCA